CTGACCTCAATTAAATCGCATACTCATCAGCATCAACCATTACACCAACACCCTTGCGGCTTAACTTATTTCATGTGACATTCAACAATAGGATATTTATCTCTGTAGCAAAAAAAATGACAAAAATAATCAATTGTCGTCTTAGTAAGTAGAATGAAGAAACAACTTTAAAATGTGACATAATTATTCAAGCTTTTTTATATTTTAGTCCGAATCAATTGTCTTAATAATTAAACGGCTATTTTACCCTTATAACGTATAGGTCTATTATTCGTACAATTTAATGAATATGTGATTGTGACACAATTTGTGCCAAAACCTCATTCAAAATCATTATGGACTATAATCTTCTTTATCCCGATATTAAGTACAATTCATTATTAAAAAAAATTAATGTAAACATACCTACGTATTTCTATTTTACAACATTGCATATATGGGTATTTATGATCCTCAAAATAGATAAAACATAGAATAAAAAAACAAATTTAAGTAATGTTGAAGTTAAGTATATTTTTTAACATTTAAATTATTCGGGTTATCCAACGTACTACAGACGTTGTGATGCAGAAAAATGTTGCATTTATTTAGTTAGAGCTCCATTTGTCTAAAACAACATATAGATATAGAGTATAAAAACAGTTAATAAACATATTGAAAATAGAAAAATTAATAAATAAAAGAGCATTTACAACAAAATTAGACTTACTATAAGCAAAAAAGAGGCTTTATTCAAGTCCAAATCTTTAAATCCAAATCTTTAAATCATGAAACAAAAGGAAGAGTCGAGGCTTGATGTTGACTTTGTCATGGTATAATGAAAAGTACTCTCATTAGATGTAGCACAGTAGTAGCCCACCTTATGGTAACACAAAAATATAACATCATAGTTATATACAATATAAATGCAAAAAATAAATAAATAAATAAATAAATAAATAAATAAATAGTAAGTTGATATTGATAAAAAAACATTTATATACCAAATCAATAGGAAATAGCCTCAACTTGATAAACTGCATCAAATCTATATAGACAGGAAACGGAGAGTAGTTAGTACAACATATCAGGTTAATACTTCGAACCATGAAACCCTTCAACATTATTGTTATAAGTTTTATATCTTAATATTTTCTTTTCTATCATTCAAATCTGTTAAACATGCCCACTCAATCATCTCTCCTAAGCCTCAATGTAAAAAAAAAACACAAAAAAAATAACAAAAAAAATGAAAAACTTTTTATTTGGTTATCATTCGTACCTAATCAGTACAACAATTTGAATCAGAATCGGACCTTTTATCTTACCATGTTACAACATCTGGTAAGGAAGGATAAGTTCGTATTGAAAGGTCTAAAATACCCTGCAACCAAAGATCCATGTTATGATCAAGAATAAAGAGATAGGTAGTACATTATACGGCACATATAAGCAAATAAAATCAACAATGGCAATAAAAGAAACCAAGTCAACAATGGCAATAAGCAACAACTTCACTATTCTCCTGTGCATTTATTGATATCAAGAAGCTCATATGGAAAACTTCTGTTTTTTCATAACTTTCTAACAATAGTCACCTTGTCTCTATCTATCTGATTAAAGGATATGAACCTGATGAAGTAGTTAATCCGAATTCATATTCACCAATTGAAGGATGGTTGGCTATTGCAACTTCTTTAAAAGCTTTCGTAGTTTGATCTGCATCATATGAATAGATAACAATCATAATACTAAAACATAGTGTCTTTTTTATAGTTAAACCTAAAAGTTACAAAAAAAATTACCTGGAGAAGTTGTTGCACTGATCTATTTGGATGCATAATGGTACCTTATTGAAGGAGCAAGGGGCTAAAACGATCTTGATATGTGAAAAAATTGAGATCTGTACATGTTTACACCAACAATATAAATAAATTGGTTTGAACATGAACAAAAATTTTAGTGTATATATACAAATACAAAAAACAAAAAAAAAATGAAAGGTGAGTCGGCAGACTCACCGTTGAAGGTTGTGGAAGAGACTGTGGACCTCAACACCTTGTCTGCCCTGACATGTCGACATGCGCCACTCCTTTTTCTGAGAAATCGATGACACCTACAAACCTATATCGCAATATACAAATGTGAAATACCGCTCAATTGTTTCAGAGGGGAACAAATACATGAAAAGATAGACGAAGAACAAGTACAATTCAACCTCTTCTTCCTCTTGTTCTTCAGATTGATCCCCAAATTTTTTTTGCATCATCAGATGCTGTAACGCCCGTAGATCCGAGCTAGTCAATTTAGAGATAATAGGGGTCGAAAACAACTTTTCGACAAAAGATTATTTATAATAAATAATCTTAACCACGTTTTAGAATATATGTCTCAAGGGTTCCGTACATATAAAGAGCGCCGAACTCCGAGTTATAACAAAGAAGTTATGACTCGTCGAAGTTTAGCGACGGAACCGACACGGCACCGCGAAGACGTAAATTGTGAATTTATGATACAGCTTCTTTTAGCCTTAGTAATTAAATGAAAGTTGAATAATATGTTAACCTGAGAGCGTCCATAAAAAGAACGCCCAAATCTGACTTCTTATGAGGAAGTTATGATTTTTCGAAGTTTCGGCTTAACAGTGTACAGCCCGAAGTTCGAGTATTAGATCGAGCGGTTTTTAGCCGACACAACCTAAACGAGAATCGAAGATGTCATTATTAGTAGCGTAACAATAAAAAGACAGACGAAAATGGACATCAGATGAAGAAGTTATGAGATTTTAACGGACCAATCCTATCCAGGCCTGTTAAAAATATAACTTTAAAAATAAAGTCAAAATTAGCCGACGAAGTCTAAACAAAAGTTGTAAAGTATGTCTCCACCTACGCGTGGATATAAATAACGTCAAAAACAGAGTTCGTATGAACGAGTTACAAATTATAATAACATATTTACGTATTAAAATAAAGTATAAATCATATATACGTACACATATATATACATATGTATATATCATTAGAAAGGTATCGACGATGCGGTCATTATAAGACTAATGTTGAGTTCTTTCGACATTAGTTTAGTACAAATATTGTTAAATCTATTTAAAATAGTATTATGAAGGGGTGTTTAGTCGTTTATATAACTATAAGGTCATTAAGTAATTATGGAGGGTAGTTTTTATAAATTCAATTACTATAAATAAGATGCTTGGACTCTCATATTTCTTGCACCATTCTCTTGATCCAAGAGTCTTTCTCTCCTTATCCCCCGAGCATTTCGGTCCCTCGTGATTCGACTTCTCTTTCTGTAATTTTAGTATAGTAAGGTGAGCGCTAAAGCGCTTCACGAATCTTTCTTAGAAAGATTCAGCAACGAAGTTCTGCCCCTGCAGACCCCGACTCCTAACTAAAATCCTCTTGTAAGTAAGTTATGCTCACCATATTTTAAATATAGTTTATATTTAAAATTAGTATTGTTATTATAAATTTATAATAAATATTTGAGATACTATTATGACTTATATAAGTGTCGTTATAATATCTTTTGAATTACTCGCGGTATGGGGAATCTGGTTTAAAGGGCCGCATAGGGTTGTTGGATTTCAGAAATGCTATACGCCAAAATGGTCCTACCCTCCGGTGTTTTATGTCTTGCCCCTGTCTGTACATAGTGGTTGGAAAGTATTGTTTTATGTTTGGCCCCTGTCTGTACTGAGTCACCACCTTCTCAAGTGAGTGCATAGTTACTTTCATCTTACATATAGATATGAGGTATTTTATATAAATTATGTGTTATGTGTGCATATTATCTGAATACTTGATGTCTATGCTGGATGAACGATTTTATACATGTTTTAAATGATTTAAACTGTATATGTATTTTATATCTACGATAATGTTGGGGTAAAACATTGGTAGATGTAATAGATGGAATATGAGTTTGATGATGAGTTAAGAGGTGTTATAGACCACGAGGTGAGGGTGAGAGGTGGACGATCTGAGAAGCCTCTTCCCAAATGATGGCCCCGTCATTCAGCAGAGTATGGATGACAACCACGGACTATTCTAGATAGTCCAGTGGAACACTAGCAGGCTCGCAACCTGTAGGTGTTGTGAACGATGTGTTCACCCGGTGTACTCTAAACCGTGGCGACCATGCAGACTTAGTGCCTAAACCTTGGCGATCATGCAGAATTGATGTCTAAACCCTGGAGACTATGTAGACTTAGTGCCCGTTGTGTAAACCTTGGCGATCATGCAGACTTGATGCCTAACCCCCTGGAGACTATGCAAACTTAGTGCCTGTTGTGTAAACCGTGGCAACGATGGACTTCATGCCGATTCCTTAGGATGATCCTTAGGAATAAATGAACAAGGAATAACTGATTTTCAGGGTAGATCCTTAAAATAAAGAAGATCCTTAAGAATAAAGAAGATAATGGGGATGGGTAATTAGGTTGATTGCTTAATTTTTTAAACAAAATAATTATATTATTGTGGGTTGAAAACCCTATGTACTCACTAGGTTTCCCAACCTGACCCACTCAGTTTATTTATATCACAGGTGTTGTTATGAAGTCACATTACACTAAGAGATGAAGGAGATTTAAATCACTAGTGATAATGAATGTAAGTTCTGTTTATGCTTATGTTTCTGTATTGATGATGACATCCCAAATGTTTTAAAATGAATAAAAATACTTTTCTTCGGAAATACTTTGATAACGTATTTATCATGTTTTACTGGGAACAAATTCCGCAACATTTTTATTAAAAGATGTACTTTGATTTTCATAAAGCATAAACAAAATCGGTCTTTTCTGGCCATTAAAATGGGGATGCCACAGATGCCTTTTCTCTTCCCCCACCATTCTTTTCCCTATTGGCGGCCACGCCCAAGACAACAGGCGAAACTTGAAGAAGAAAACTAAGCAGTGGAATGGGTATGAGTAGTATTTTGGGGAAGAACACAGCAACAAAACTAGAGATGGTGTCTAAAACTGTGGATCTAACTCCTTACACCAGTGGGGGTAGGGCGATCCTCAGCTTCATCTCCACAGGTGGGACGTCGAGCCCGAATAGAAAATCGGCAGTGGATGGCAGTAGACGAAAGCAGTTGGTGTCAATGTCAATGGCATTAGGCGGTGGGTTGTTGAGGAGATAACAATCGACAATTAACCTTAGCCACCACATCAGCCAACGCCGTTGCACCATCACCATCAAAAGCACTAGTGTGTGTTGTTGCTTCATTGCAGAAATCATCACAAAAAAACAGTCGACCGACAGCTCCATTAGGGTTGTTCTAAGCAGCCTTTTTTTAACCGGTGTAAGGTAAATAGGATGGGGAAGCGATGGTGACCAGATGAGAAAGCATGGAAGAGGAAAACGTAACGAACCGAAGCAGACGGTGGTGATGCGGTGCTCAATCGGTTCTATAACAAACGCCCTCACAGAGGGTGGAAGGATTCAGATGAAGAAGCGGTGGGCAGATAAAAAGAAAGACAGTCGAAGGATCTGGAAGACAAAGAAAACGTAATGGAATAACAACGGTGATAAGAGAGGCGGTGGAAGGATCAGGAAGGGGCAACGGCAAGAATACACGTGGAATGTCTAAACATCTACCACGAAGCAGAAAAAGTTTATGAGTAAGCAGGAATATAAAATTAAATAACACATGAAACAATACAACAAACAAAGAGATGGAAATTAAAAAAATGTCGATTAAAAAAACCATAAGAACATACAATGAATCAAAGTAGGCGGGCCACAATAAGAGATTCATATAAACTTAAGGACAAACAGGAAAAACAATGAATGGAAGTCGAGGGTCCAAAACTGATAAACAAATACCAATTTAACTGTTCATAAGCTTCATATTTTTAATATATATATATATATATATATATATATATATATATATATATATATATATATATATATATATATATATATTAATTTTTTTTATTTTGTGTGTGTTTTGTAGACATGCTTGATAAAAAAAAAGGGTAATACACTAATATAATCATTAGCTTATTAAATTTTATTTTTTACTAAACCAGCCACCTTTATGTTTTTTTGTATTAGTAATACATGAATTTCTAAAATCAACCATTAATCTAACTCAATAAATGTTTGGAATTTTTTGAACATGATATGAAACTTTTCTTATAAGAAATATAATAAAGGTACATTGTTATTTATTTACTTTTATTGTATTCAAATCTATATTTTATTGTATAATATTATATTTTTATCATTGATATTGACTTAAAAGAACATGATTTTAATATTTTGAAACCATTTTACATATTAATTAAAAATAAAAATGATTGACTTACGTACAAAACATCAAATTATGTATAAAATAACAGTATGTGAATGTATGATTAAGATTGTGACTTTTATAGCCTCTATGCTGTTTTACTTTATCAACCAACCGTATACAAATGTATAAAAATGTATAAAATACAAATACAAAATTGCTAACAAATTTGACTATTTAACCATGACATAAGAAACTAATTTATAATAAGTCACATTTCTATCATGATAACTTTTTTTTTCTGCACTTTCTATAGAAGTATTAAATTAAACAACGAAACTCTAGAAAATATGTAGAATATAGCATTGTACTTTATAATTTTTTTTATTTTTAACAATTTTTCATAAATATACTGTTTCGCTGTGTGTGACTGATTTGCCCCTGAATTTCTACCTATTTTCCAACAAATACGAGAATTATAAAAGAACTTCATAACTAAGCAAAAAGTAGCATTGTACTTATAGAAATAATTAATTTCAGCCAATTAAAAAAAATTTGGTTCAAATATCATAAAAAGTTATGGTGTTATATTAAAAATCAAGTTTATACTATAATGTTTACCGTGTGAATGTGTTGTAATAAAATAAAAAAATGGGAACAAATTTCACTGTTTTACCCCCACTCAAATAACTACCTTTTAATAAGTCATATTTTTTAGAAAAAAAAAATTTACAATTTTCAAAACTTCATAATTTTATAGAAACTATCATTGTACTTTCCTTAAATATGATTTTCTACATATTGTGTTAAAAAATTATAATTTGACAGCATAACTTAGGAATAAAAATCCATAAAATAACAATGGCATTTCTAAAAATATATATTTTAAATATTTTTGTACAAAACAAAAGTACATTGCTTTGTTGTGTGTATGTGTTGTAAAAAATACACAAATATCAATGTTATTAATAAATTTCATAATTTGTCCCTTACAAAAAAGAATTTCATAAAATATAGTATCATACTTACATTTGCTTCTCATTATAGCGATGTACTTAAATAAAGTGTGTATTTGTAACTTTGTGTTTATGTGTTGCAAATAGGATATAAAAATGTATGTTATTGCTATTTTGTTTTTTTTTTTTTCAAAATCCCATTACACACTAGGATGTACTCAAATTATATAATTATTTTTTCCAAATTGTCATTTCATATTTATTATCAATAATGTAAAGGGATGTAGGAAAGTAGTGTTGCTTTTTTATTTAAATATAAAGTCCTTTCTAACATCTAACATCCCAAGTCATCCGATTAAAACTATCTATTTCGTATTTTGTGGTCATATTTGCCCTTAAATAGAACATGCAATGAGTTTCAATAGTTTTTAGGAAATGTGATTGTTTTTCCCTTTATGAAATAACTACTTTTAATACAAAAGTATAAAGGTAACCTTTGTTGGAATCCTAAGCCGAGTAGGACTTGGGGACCAAGCAATAGCAACCTAGTTTTAAGGAAACTATGTTCAAGTCGGTTTCTAGTTTCCTAATTGTAATCTAATTACAAGTCGGTAGATTAGAATAATATATATATATATATATATATATATATATATATATATACACACACACATACACACACACACATCTTGACTTGAATTGGTATCAGAGCCAAGAACAGAAGGCTTTGAGATCAAGTTCTTACCTATTGACGAACCGATCAACATGTCAGATATAGGGGGAGATGGAGAAGCTCCGGTGAGGGTGAAGGAGGTAGGAGCAACTTCTATTGTCTGACCGATACTCACACCAACCAACACTACTAGAAAAACAGCCTTTTACGACGCTCATTGCGCGTCGTAAAAGGCTCAGACGACGCGCAAATGTGCGTCAAGGAAGACCCTGTCATAAAGAGAGACGACGCGCTTTTGCGTGTCGTCTATAGACGACGCGCATTTACGACACGCATTTATGACGCGCAATTACGGTGCGCGTTTACGACACTCAATGCGTATCAAGGAAGGCCTTGTCATAAAGGAAGACAACACGCATTCGCGTGTCGTAACCTTACGACGCACATGTTAATGACACGCAATGCGTATCAAGAAAGGCCATGTCATAAATGAAGATGACACACATTTTTGCGTATCGTAAATTTATATGTTTAAAAAATATAATTTATATATTTATTAATTTTTAAATTAAATTTGCATTTAATTTCTCATAATAGAAATAAAATACCATATACAAAAATACAATCCATTGCATAATATAAAATAAAATTTCATACTCAAAAAATAAAATAAATTGCACAAATTATAATGTCATACAAAGAATCATTCAAATGTTAAACAAAAATAATACATTGCTAACATGGGTTATACATTCCTGTAAAACTAAAAAGTAATCATACAACTCTGTTTCTTACTGGATAGGAATGCCAAACATGATTACAAGTCTCCCTTAATCTTGATTACTCACCTGCTTAAGTAGAATGCTATTGTTGAGAAGGTTACCTAGCAACAAAGAAAAACACAACACCTCTCCCACAATCACAACATCATTTACAGAAAAAGGGTTGTCAATTACTTTAATTAAGACTTTCATTCAATCAAAAAAATATTAAATAAAAGGGTGAAAAAGATAACTTACTTTTGATAAGTTGATCTCCCTTAGAGCAAACACAGCTAAAGCATTGAACAAGACCCTAGGACCTTAACGTGTGGTGTGGTTTACAATTTTTTAAAGCACCTTCCCATGTGACTCTTAATTATGAGATTATTCTCCTCCCAAAACCTTTCCTTTTGCTTCTTCTTCTAATCGATGTTGCATGCACAAAATTCGTATCTAACCCGCGCCAATGGCGCGAGAAACTTCTACTAGTTTTATATATATATATATAAGATATAGTTTCATAATATAAAAAAAGTTAGTTATGTGTACCTTACTAGAACGTAAAAAGAATACCTGCTCATTAAAAAAGTGTGTTGAAACAGAATTCAGTGAGTACGAGCTCAATTTATAATCTCTTTGCATAGCCTGCAGAAAATAAGATAATGAATCAAAACCTTATAGTTATCCCTACATATCAACTTACTTGTTCAATAACATTTATTAGAAGAAATGACCTGAAGTAAATCAAACTGAACTCTCCTTTCCAATGTAACTTCTTTACTTTCCCTTGTACCATACTGTCTGCAACGCAAAACCAATATTAGAAAAATTCAGCATCATGAAGACCTTTCTTTATCTTAATATAAAAAAAGTTAGTTATGTTTACAGATATAACTAAGCATATGAATGGAGAAATGAACTAACCAAATATAAATGTATCTAGTCTAACAAGATTTCAATGCTGAAGTTTAGCAATAAGCATAACCTCATTTTTGAACTCTTGCAAACCTTGTCCAGAGAGGCTTGACAACCTCTTCACTGCAATTTCTTTTCCTCCAGGAAGCTTACCCTATAATAAAGCACTTATAATTGGCTGTATTGCGACCTCTTGTGAAGAAAATTAAGTGAAAATAGGCCCAAAACCACCTTACCTAAAACCAGCTCAAAGTATGTGAAAAAGTTGATTACTTTAGTAAAGCTTATAGTTAACAGGGTATCAGGTAGGGAGTTTAAGCTTATGGGTTAGTGTGTACCTCAAGGATAAGTCAATATAAAGTCTCAAGAAGAAGGATAAAAAGGTAAATGTTGTGAAGGGTATATTGGTCAGAATGTTTTGAAGAAGGCCTCAAGGTCTGTGACTATGTCTCAGGGACATAATCAAAAGGATTTAGATTGCTTTTAGTGGTAACTATAAAAGTAAAAGAATAAGAATAAGCTCACTTAGGTGTAGACACATATATGAAATAGAAAGAGACAGGATCAGGTTTGTACACCTAGTAGGTCACCCTCACATTCTGCCCCCAATAGTTTCATGTCCAAATAGAAGGAAAAGTTCTTAAAAGTTACCGTGTTTCCATTTGTGTGAAGATATGTAGGATATTGGAATATATATATATATATATATATATATATATATATATATATATATATATATATAGAGAGAGAGAGAGAGAGAGACTTACCCGGTCCTGATCCTTGATAAGCATAAGAAATGAGGAAATTTCAGGGTAGAGGACCGCATCGATCTTCTTTGGTCGTTCAACTATTGAATACTTGACCGCAACAACAACCGTTGCCCTGGTGAATGCAGCAGGACTAGTTGTTCCCTCCTAAAAAATTTATATTAAAACAATTACATTTTATTAATTAATATAAAAAATATTAAAGGAGGTTAAATATATATATATATATATATATATATATATATATATATATATATATATATATATATATACCTTGAGGGCAGGAACGAGTTTTGAAGGCTTGATGAGGGCAATTTTTCATAACACTTTTGGTCCCTGAATCGACTAAATTTATGAAAATGACCATTTTGCCCTTGTATACTTTATCGCTTCTGTCTTTAATGGTCACGGTGTATAATTATACCCCAACAGCAATCAATCTCTTTTCTCGAGAAACCCTAACCAGATTCAACCAAATCCTATATAAATCAAACCAACCCAAAATCAAAGTTAAAGATCTAACACCAAAATTCAAAACCAAATCAAAATGTGCCTTTGTTTCGTCAAGTCTTAAGAGGCTACTCAATCTGAACCAAACAGCAGAACCTAAAACCAAATCCATGCTTTTTTAATTTTTGTAACTCCAAAAATAAAATAAAAAATAGAAAGCTAACCTGTTGCAGTTCCCTAGTTGAAAGCATTTCCAAGAGAAAAAGTTGTCAGCAGCACTCTCCTCGACTTTACAGAACTGCTAATCTGATATAACCACGACCCAACATATTAAAAAATTAAGTAAGCTTTAATCCAATCTTATAGTCATTGAATAGCTGCATAATTAAAGTCACATGTAATTACAAAGAACTTGCCTGTTCTACTGATAAATAAACAATGTTTAGCTTATCCCTAAGTTCTGAAACCTAAATTTGCAAAAAGAACAGTAAAGTTAAAATATGGTAAATATAAGAAAGTAGGAAATGCAAAGAATAGTATCTCCTGACCTGTGTACTAAACTGCAACTTATAAGAGTAAACTATGAGTTTAGCTTCCGAACGTGGAACTTTCATTAGCTCTAAGAAGATCTGTTACAAAATAGCAGATATTAAAATTTTAAATTTTGGTCCCCAACTTCACTGACATACTAATGATATAAATCCAGAAGACGGGTATTATGTACCTGTTCACAATTTCCAGAATTATCGGGTTCTCCTTCATATCCCTAAGAATATATATAAAACGTAAGTTATAGTATAAATAAAAGATGTGGGTATGTAATGTAATGTAGAAATGTAGAATGTAAATACGCCTTAATTATTTCGTGTTTCCTTCTGCAGTAGCACCACTTCCATTTAGCAACAGGTATGTCTCTTGTTTATCCTCCTTCTTGAACTTGGCAATAACATAAGTCCCATAAGAAGTTCTCCGCGGCATGGGTCAGAGTACGAATCTTCATATATCAATGCAAGTGAATCATCATGCCAGCTTATTCCTCTGCTGATATTGAAAAAAAAATATGACTTTATGCCGAGGGAAAATAAAAAAGAAAAACTTACTCAAAGCGAAGATCAAGCATGTGAAAGATGTTTGGGTCTTCTTCACCTCCAGCAGCCTGTGTGTAAACTATGTCACGAGGAGAAACTTCTCCTTTGACATCACCTCCATCTTGTGTCTCCATCAGCAGCGTACCACAAATCAATCTATTTGGGAAATCTTCCACATGGGACAGTAAAAGAGAAGGGTCTATGAAATGAAGTAAGTAAATCAATCCCTTGTGCAGCTTTGATTTCTTTATGATGAATGTAAGCTCCCCGAATCAAACAACAAACAAACTCATAAAGACTCAACAAAACTAATGAATTTGAAAAACAATTGTCAAATTTAAAATGCCCAAAAAGGTTCAAACATATCCTCACCTTTACTCGGAGTTCCTTCATTAGGTGAGGAGTCAACAATGATCGGATTGTTGTATGAATTGACCCCTGCACATGCACATGCATTATATTTTAAACAAGAAAATAGCGTCATTCGTTCATATATTTATTAATTATAGTATACAAACAAAAAGTAACTCGAATGTAGCAACAAAGTGTTTGCACTTACCTGAAAGCCACAAACAACAATTTCATCTCCTTCATGAAGCACACCATTAACCAAAACCACATCAATGGTTGTTCCAAGGTCTTCTATCACTTTAACCTCTAATACCGCACACTACAAAGATTTTTCATTCCAAGAATCAGTAATCAGAACTCTCACAGATGGAATAAAGGTGGAATTGGAAAAAGGAGATATATATATATATATATATATACACACACACACGCACACACCTGAATATCACTGCTGTATGTAAGTTTTTCAATCATTGTCTTCTGAACCCATTGGACAAGTAGCAACAACATCTCAGGTATGCCTTCACCACTTTTTTTGCCCCAAAAAGCAAAGATTTTGTTCAAAGTTCAAAACCCAATATTCAAATGGTGTGTGAACAGTAGATCTCATAAAAAACTACCTGATAGCACTTGTGGGTACAATACTATAAGTATCCCCTCTGTCTTTGTTCTTGCTGTACAATTCGGTATTCAATCCTTGCTCCTTGAATTCTGTAATTATCTGAAGTCACAAAGCACAAATCATGAGAAAGCCAGCAAGAAAAGAAAATAGATGTTTCGGTGTTGGCATCGATTATGTGAATTGCAGCACCCTGTTGGCCATTATGTCACAACATGTCAACTTTTCCATCCTTACCCATCTTATTACCTCCATCTTTACATAGCCAAAAGATGAAAGAAATTATTATCTTCACTCACTTGAGCATTTCATCAAACACCTCACGTGCACTCGATCATTTCACTTTAAATTAAAATAAAAACTGATAGAAATCCCACCAACAAGTAGATAACACAATCAGGTAAGTAAAGAGATGAATTTAGAAAAAATCATTCCTGGGAATGATGAAGTCAAATGCGATGATTAGAATTCGTGGAAAGTAAATGAATAGATGTTGATATTGGAGTTTAAAAGAGAGTTGTACCTTGGAATGTTGAGCATAGATGAAAACAGATTGATATAGGAAGATGATAACATTTATTTGAAGGAGTCGATAATTCTTCTAGCCTTGATCACATGTCAATCGGAGTTGAGGGCTTTAAGAACTGGAATCGGACCATATTTTGTCTGACATTTGTGTGCATAATACTCGAAATTCAGAAACCCTAGATGTATAAACCATGCTTCGTGAACCCCATAGAATCGAACCTATCAGTTGTAGTGGAGGAAAAGGGGAGGGGGGAGAACGAACTAGGGTTAGAATCGAACCTATCAATTGTTGTTACCGATTTTAGGGTTTCACATAGAACAAGAAAGAGGTGGTGATGGAGAAGATGGTAGGGCGGCGATGGATGGTAGGAATGGTGGTTATGGTCGATTGTGTTGAGGTTGCAGGTGGTGAGATGTAGCTGTGACAACCATGGTGGTGGTATGGAGGTGAACTGTAGAGAGAGAGAGAGAGAGAGAGAGAGATGGTGGTGAGTCTGATGAGGTGAGCATTCCCGTGGAAGGAGGAGACGCAAGCGGGGTTTTTAATTTTTTGGATTTCATTCCCCCCAAAAAATGAAAACACGCGCTAATAGACTAAAATTATAAAGCGACAAGGTAACACGGCGCGCTTTTTAGGATAGGTGCCCTCCGTGTTTTTAAATTTTTTTGTTGGACACTAATTTTAAGGCGCTCAAAAATGCGTTTCCTCTATCCTTCAAATGTTCCAGAGCTGACATTATTTTTTAGGGCACGCACAAATGCGTATCCTCTATTAGTGCGCATCATTAAAGGGCAGTTTTCTAGTAGTGCAATTACACTGTCTGGTCCCTGCGTATGAAGGTGGTGCTTAGAATTTGCAAGGCTTGGATAGTGATCGCGATCAAGGAACAAACAAGAACGGGGAGAAAGATTACCTTGCTATGGGGTTGCTTTATTAGGAAATTACAGAAAGCTTGATAATGCAATTTGGCAATGTTGAGTCTTCAAAGGCTCTGTGGGAATCAATCAAGGTCTGTTATGTAGGAACTAATAGGGTGAAAGAGGCTCGATTGCAAACCCTAAATGCCGAATTCGATCGGCTGAAGATGATGGAGTCGGAAACCATCGATGCGTATGCTAGAAAGCTGTCATGTATTGCCTCAAAATCAGCAGCTTTAGGAGAGGTTATTGATGAATCGAAATTAGTAAAGAAGTTCCTCAAAAACTTGCCTCGTTCGAAGTTTATACACATCGTTGCCTCTTTGGAACAGGTGATCGATCTAAAATCAGTCGGATTCGAAGATGTAGTCGGTCGATTGAAGGCATACGAGGAAAGAATAAGGGAAGAGGATACCGATGGAAGTGATTAGACAAAGTTACTATTCTCCAAAGAAACATGTGGCAGTGGTGGATTATCTAGATCTTATAGAGGAGTGATAGGGAAGATGAATGGAAAAGGATCGTTAAGTGGGTTTATTCAAGGGGAAACGGGTCGGATGGGTCAGGTGGACCAAACAAATGGACTAAGAATCTACAAGCCCCAAAGCAGAAAAATCACAGGCCCAATGACTCAAATAAGCCTAACTTTGACCTGAACAAAATTAAAAATAAAAAAGATCGATCATATATTATTTGTTACCGATGTCACAAACCATGTCATTTTGCATCTCAACGCCCGGACCAAATTAAAAAATTACAAGAAAGTAATTTTGCCGAATATGACAATACCGACAAGACTGTATTCTTAAACGAAGAAAAGGTGACACCGTCCCGATACGACTCACAAGACAACAATGTGTGGTACTTGGATAACAGGGCAAGCAATCACATGACGGGAAATCGATCATTTTTCTCTGAACTTGAAGAAGGCATAACTGGGAGGGTTAAATTTGGAGATAATTCATGGGTAAAAATCAAGGGAAATGGTGCTATACTTTTCCAAGGAAAGAAGGGTCAACAAAGGCTTATGATAGAGATTTACTACATACCGGATCTCAAGAAAAATATTATCAGTCTCGGGCAAGCAACCGAAGCCGGGTGTGATATTCGAATGAAAGATAACTATTTGACCATGCACGATGCCGATAATTGCTTATTAATGAAAGTACAAAGAACTCCAAACCGCCTTTATAAAATAAAATTACAAATTGGAGTTCCTATTTGCCTTCATTCGAGACTAAGTGAAGATGCGTGGCGATGACATGCAAGACTTGGGCACATCAATTTCGAGTCAATGAAAAAGATGTCTAATAAGGGTTTAGTCAAAGGGTTACCTCAATTTGATCATGAGAATCAACTATGTGATTCGTGCTTGGTGGGCAAGCAAACAAGAAATTCATTCCCGACTATGACGACATACAAAACAAAACAACCATTGAAGCTAGTTCACAGTGATCTATGCGGTCCGATCACGCCGGCAACCAATGGTCAAAATCGGTATATTTTTACACTAATTGATGAATTTTCACGTTTTATGTGGATTTATCTCATGAAAAAAAAAAGAGTGAGGCGTTTACACACTTCAAAAAATTCAAAGCTTTGGTGGAGAATGAAATTGGAAAATCTTTGAAAGTGTTTAGAAGTGATCGAGGATTTGAGTTTACTTCTATCAAGTTTAATTCTTTTTATGATCAAAACGGAGTCAAACGCCACCTTACCGTCCCATGTTCTCCACAACAAAATGGAATTGTGGAACAAAGAAACCGGACACTAATGGACATGACACGAAGTATAATGAAGGCAATGCATGTTCCAAACTACTTATGGGAAGAAGCGGTAAATCACTCTACAAATCTAATTAATCACATTTACACAAGAGTCCATGGTGATACCACTCCATAAGAAAAGTTGTATAAAAGAAAACCAAATTTAGAAAATGTTCATATATTTGGGTGTTTAGCACATGCAAAAGTTGAACCGGTTAATCTACAGAAGTTGGATGCAAGATCAAGACCACTCGTGCGTGTTGGTTCCAAACCAGGTACGAAAGCTTATCGGTTATTTAACCTGGTAACACAAAAATAATTGTGATTCGAGACGTTATTTTTGATGAAACCAAAGGGTGGGATTGGATTAAAGAAGTTGGAACCAACAATGAAGAACCGGGCACATTCATAATACCATGGGACTATCCGATAGACGAGGCGAACAACAACCAAGGAAACAATGTAAACAAGCATCCAATTGAATCGGATCATGAGATGGGAGACGGAGCTGAAGTACAAGATAATGAACAACTAAGTCCGGTAAATAATATTGTTCAACAAGGAGCTGCAAGTCAAAGACCCTCGAGAGCAAGAGTACCTCCAAGTAAATTTCAAGATTATGAGCTTGACCTTGATAATCTCGAAGAGCTTCTTCTTACAACCAATGACGAGCCGATATCGGTTGATGTAACGCCCGTAGATTAGGGCTAGTCAATTAAGAGACAATAAGTGTTGAAAATGACTTTTTGATAGAAGATTATTTAGAATGAATAATCTTAACTAATTTGTAGTGGTTGTGACAAGGATTCCGGATATATAAAGAATACCAAAATCTGAGTTATAACAAAGAAGTTATGACATGTCGAAGTTTGAACCGGCACGACACAGTGCAACGTAAATAGTGAATTTACGATAGAGCGATATTTGGATTTAACGATCTAAACAAAAGTCGTAGAATAAGTTAAACCGAGAGCATGAATGAAAACAACACCCAAATCTTACTTCGTATGAGGAAATTATGGTTTTTCGAAGTTTCGGCTTAGCAGTGTACAGCCCGAAGTCGAATATGAGATCGAGTGAGTTCTAGTCGAAACAATCTAAACGAGAATCGAAGATCTCGTTGATAGTAGTGCAATGGTGAAAAGACACTCGAAAACAGATTTCAGATGAAGGAGTTATGGATTTCTAACAGAGTTTTCCTGTCCCAGCCTAATAAAAATAATATATTGATAATATATTAAAAATTAATTCAAAATTAGCCAAAGGAGTCTAAACAAGACTTGTAGAGCATAATCTCACCTACGTGTGGATATAAGGAACGTCGAAAAGAGAGTTCATATGCGAAAGTTATGAATTTCTGAATTTCGGGGCGCGAAACCGCAAAACTGTTAAGGTTCACAACGTGAAAACAGTGTTCACGATGTGAACTGGCTTCTGACGCCTTCTGGAGCCTCCAGAGCAAGTGGACGAATGAAGAATGCAATGAACTACTGTGCTCATGAAATGAGCACTTAAAACTCACGACGTGAGTACAGAAAATGGCCCTATAAATAGAATTGAAGGGGCAGTCGGCCATGGTTGCAAATTCACTCTTCTCTCACCCATATTACCTCGATTTACGTGCAAATAAGTACCCTCGAAGCCCCGATATCATCTCGAGACCCGAATCAAGTCCCAAAGCCCGAAGATCCCGCGAAGAAAAGAGTTTCCGAGCTGAAGCTCTGCCCGCGAGAAGTCTGGTGTGTGAAGATATCCCGGTTTCACCGAAGAGTTACTACTTGTAGAGCTGTAGTGTTGTTCGATAATCGTCTAATCAAGTGAGTGTATAGTCCTTTTCATAAATATGATTTTAATACAAGTATTGTTTAAATGTATTAAGTATATGTTTGGAGTGAGTGTGTAGTTACTTTCTTCTAACACATAAATATGAAGTATTTGCTATCAAATACGTGCTATGTGTTTATATATTGTTGTTTATTTGAGATGAGTGTGGAATAGATGTTTTATATAGTTTTAAATAAGTTAAACTGTATATGTATTTTTATATCTACAAATATGTTGGGTAGAACATGGGTGGATGGGATAGGTGATGATAGATTGGTGATGATAAATAGGTGATGTGAGATGAGAGGAGATACCATAACCTTGACCGGCGATGTAGTCATCTACTAGAGTATAGATGGCAACCACTAACTATTCTAGACAGTCATGTGGAAACACCAGCAGGCTCATAACCTGTAGGTGACGAAATACGAGTTTAGGGAATGTTGTAACTGCGTATTCATGCGATGATACTCTAACCCCTTACTATGAATTACGAGTTCAGGCGATGTTGTAACTACGTATTCATGCAATGATACCCTAACCCTTACTGGGCACGTATTGAGGCGGTAATCCCTGAATCAATACTATCTATGTGATGTAGGCGATGATCCTTAGGAACAAACATATAAGGAGATGCGATATAAGGAGATCAGAGGTAAATACGATGTAGGAGATGACCCTTAGGATAAATCCTTGGGGAAAGGTACTTAGGAATAAAGAAGATAATGGGGATGGGTACTTGGATTAATTGTTTGATGATTAAATATAATAATTATATTATTGTGGGTTGAAAACCCTATATGCTCACCAGGCTCCCAAGCCTGACCCACTCAGTTTTCTTTGTATTACAGGTAGTGGCTTAAGAGCATAAGTTGGTTGACATGACGAGAGATAATGGATTATAGGCCAGTAGTTATATATAATTGTTGTAAGGTCTAATTTGTTCTGTTTATGCTTTTGGTCTGTATCGGAACATGACATCCCAAGATTTTGTTATATAATGAAAATATATTTCTTTAAAGAAATGCTTTGATAAATTCTTATCAGATTTTGTTTTGGGAACAAATTCCGCAATTGTTTTCTTTAAACGATTACTCTGATTTTAAAATGAAGCATAAACAAATCGATTTTTTCTGACCGTGAAATTAGGTATGTCATAGTTGAAGAAGCGAAGAAAGAACCAGAGTGGGTCAAAGACATGGATGTGGAAATTAATTCGATAAACAAGAATAATACTTGGACTCTTGTGAACAAACCTATAGGGGTGAAGCCAATTGGACTCAAGTGGGTGTTCAAATTGAAGAAAAATGCAGATGATGCCATTAATAAATAAAAGGCAAGGTTGGTTGCTAAAGGTTACGTGCAACAACACGGTATTGATTTTCAAGAAGTATATGCCATGGTAGCTCGAATCGAAACCATAGGGTTTCTTATAGCCTTAGCCGCTACTCACGGGTAGGATCTTCACCAGTGGGATGTTAAAACGGCGTTCTTACATGGAGAAGTAAAGGAAACCGCTTATGTATCGCAATCGGAAGGCTATATAAAGAAAGGTAACGAGTATAAAGTATATCGCCTTAAAAAAGAACTATAGGGTTTAAGACAAGCACATCGAGCATGGAACACGAAGCTTGACGGGATTTTGAAGAATATGAAATTTCAAAAGTGCATGAAAGAACTATCGGTGTACCGGAAAAGTGAATTAATCTAACTTGCTAATTTTAGCAATTTATGTTGATGATTTATTTGTCACATGTACAAATTTGAACATGATCAAGAGGTTCAAATTAGAAATGTCCAAGAACTTTGAGATGTCGGATCTTGGAAGATTAACTTATTACCTTGGCATTAAAGTTAAGCAAGAGGAATCGGGGATTACTATAAACCAAGAAGCATATGCTCAACGCAGTTTAAAAGAAGCAGGTTTACATGATTGCAATCCGACCCACATTCCAATGGAACCAGGAATTAAGTTGTCAAAGGCCGAAGATGAACCCGAAATCGACTCAACACAATATCGAAAGGTGGTAGGATGTCTTAGATATCTCTAGCAAGCAAGACCTGATATGGCATATGCGGTTAGATTTGTTAGCCGATACATGAAAAGTCCAAGAGAATCACATAGTGTTGCAATCACACACATTTTAAGGTACTTACGAGGAACAACGGGATACAGAATCAAGAACGAGAGGATGGGATAAAGGCGAATTATATGTTATAGTGATAGTAGTCACAATGTTGACCCAAATGACGGTAAAAGCACAACCGGTCACATTTTCTACTACAGGTCCTCTCCAATTACACGTTCGCAAAAGCAATATATTGTTGCTTTATCATCTTGCGATGTGGAGTTCATGGCAGCCACGACAACCGCATGTCAAGAAATATGGCTTCAAGATTTGCTTGGAGAAATCATGAACAAAGCGCAAGAGAAAGTGATTCTTAAAGTTGATAACAAGTCGGCTATCGAACTAACGAAGAATCTCGTCTTTCATGGAAGAAGTAAACCATTCACACGAGGTTTCACTTCATTCATAATTGTGGTGAAAACGAACAAGTGGAGGTGGAATACATTCCCAGTGAAGAACAAAGTGCGGATATTCTTACGAAACCACTAGCTCGAACCAAGTTCAAGGAAATGTGGAGCTTGATCGTAGTTGAAAGATTCTCTAGAAGGACTTAGAGATTCGGGGATGATTGTTGGAATCCTAAGCCGAGTAGGACTTGGGGACCAAGCAATATATATATATATATATATATATATATATATATATATATATATACACACACACACACACACACATATCTTGTTTAGCCGTGTAGGGTAAGAGACTGTATTCAAAAATTGAGTTTTGAGTTATTTTCTCATTTAATCAAAGAGATAGTTTGATTAATTGTTTGTGTTATACATTATTGACTTCAACCTTCGTAGTAAGATATCTAATTTGTGTTTAAAGAACTATTTCAAAATTTTTGATTCATAACAATTATTTATAATATATCAATAGTTTTTTTATTACTTTGGATTCAGTTACTTTCTTATTCATCATAATGTTTGATATTACTCTTGTTTAATAAACTCATGTAATACATGGGTCTCACACTTAATTACTAATGAACAACAAGAAGAAAATGAAGCCACTCTACAAACAAGAAGCATGAGGTTAAACAAAAATAACGAAGAAACACACGATGTATATATCACGCAGGGGTGGAACACAAGCATAATAACTAGGGGGACGAAATTAAAATTTTAAAACAAAACCATATCAACAAAAAATATTTCACAATTATAACATATCAAAATTTAAAACAAAGATTATTATATCGCTCTTTTAAAATTGCATTTTTAAGTATTGCACAATTGTTTCTTGATTAATCTTTTCAACTTCTCTTTCAAATGATATACTAGCCATTTTGGTATTTTTCATTCAAAATAATATCCGATGGTTTTTCGGGATCTTGAATAGAATTGATATGTTTTTTTTAACAAAACATTAATAGTCAGTTGTTTTTTCAATGTATACTAAATAAAAGAATTAACTATCAATTGCTAAATAACAAAATATAACTAAAAATAAAATAACAACCAACAAATACATTATACTAAACATCTATATTTTTTAATAAAATATAAGTTATTGGATAAATAAATAATACGTTGTGATTTTAATCAATTCTATTATACACTGCTATGTATATTCCTTTTTAGTGTTTACAAAGGTTTTATATAATAAAAAATCAATCGATAATATCAATGAAATTAAAATTAATGGTAACGACTTTTTAGATAAAGTACTTTTACAGCTTTGCTATATGCCTATATGCTATATACCCTCTGGCATCATTTTAATACAGTACTTAATACTCATAGACATAAAGCAAGAGAAAGGAAATACTTAACAGACTCAGAGAGAGAAATAAAAAAAATACCGGTATAGTCCTCTTGTGGAGTCTGGAGAGGAGATCGGAAAGGGTGATTGGTTGCCGGCGGCAGCAGGAAAAGAGAACGAAAGAGAAAAGAGAGCAAGGCGGAGGAGCGACAAGCCGACGAAGGAGAAGCGGTGGTCCGACTAGTGGCAACAAAGACCCGTGGGAGAGATGCAGTTGGTGGCGGTTGGCGGCGTTATTCCGGTGAGATTTGGATGTTTCGGCTTTCGAAATTTCTAGATCTTGTTTTCTTAAACTCAAATCTTTGAGTTAATAATTTTGTAGATTTGATTTTGTTTTATAGAGTTTCTAAAATAGTTTCTTAGTTCTATTAATGTCCTAATCATTATACCGATTCTTTTGATTCTATTAGTTTATTTTATCAATGATTTTATTTTAAATTTCATCAGTGATTTTCGGATGATTTTGTTAGTTGGTAACTAAATTTGTAACTCTAAATAGGGGGACCAAATTAACAATTATAATGGCGTTGGATTTAATTTAAAAATAAAAACTATATATGAAGGTATTAGACTTAAAACCGGGGAGACTATGGCCCCCTCCGGCCCTATTAGGATCCGTCACTGATATCACGAATATTTTGTAGATAATTATGTATGCAACTCAAATAATTTCAAGCGAAGGTTTCGTTTAAATACGAATGTGTTTTTACAAATTGGTAATGTCTTGTAAAGCATGTATCTTTTCTTTAATATTTATATGTATTAAATATATTTTTATACAAAATAAATACTTATTTTTACCTATTAGATATATCTTTAGATATCATTTTTTCTAATTGAGAAATGATGCTAGAGGTAGGTATGGATTCATAATGTTGCAATAATTTGGTTGATGGCTTACATGGAGTCGCCACATACCATTGACGATTATCTGAAAATGTTTGTAATACCTACAAGAGAAAGTTTGTATAGATTGTTAAAAAGTATTGTTGAAATATTCGATGACGTCTATTTGCGAAAACCTTCGTTGAATGATATGCAACAGCTATATGTGTCACATGAAGAAAGACATGGTCATCATGGAAGTGGTCATCATGGAACACCATCGTTGGTATATAAATGTTGTTGCTTCCCAAGATTTATGGATTTGACATGACTTTTTTGGAGTTGTGGGTTCCAACAACATCAACATTATTGATCAGTCACTAATATTCAATGGTATTTTGTCAGGAAAGACACCAGATGCTCATTTCACAATAAATGGAAATAAATATAAGTTTGATATTACCTTACGGATGAAATATTCCTTACGTATTCCACATTCGTGAAGGCCTTCCAACACCTAGTATCATAATGCATAGTAGAAGTGGCACATAGTAGAACATACGACACGACCATATGAGATAGAAATTATACGATATATTATGTATGCATGTATCATAATGCATAATATGGTAGTGGGAGATAAAGGGCGGAATATTGCACACTATATGTCAACGGAGCCTCAACATATGCAATTTGTACTAGGTTAAGTGTAATATTTGCATAGAGTTGTTGATATTCAAGATACACAAAAACACGAGCGACTTCGATAGAACTTGACGGATCATATCAATGATGCTAACGATAATGATGAGTAGTTTATTTAGGAAAAAAAATTAAGTAATTTAGCTTCATGTTATGGTTTATAAAATTGTTTTTTTTTATAAAATTAGGTAATTTATTTTTAAAATTATAAATAAATAATTAAAACTAAAAAAACGATTACATAGAACTTATTTTGGTGTGGTTGTATGGCAGTGATTTCCTAACTGAAATCAGTGGGAGCTAAGAGAGGGCCAGGGGAGCCATGGCCCCCTGATTTTTGGTGTTCTAATACCTCAATAATATATAACAATGGATTTATTTGTTTACTAAACCTCTTTAGCCCCCACAATTTATTATAATTTATATACAATATGTAATTGGAAAGATTATTCAAATATGTAATTAACTCTAAATCAGAAAATCGGTTATATTTGATAATTAGGCAGGATAAATAAGTTCTAACAGAATCTCAGAAATTTGCTAAAAAAATAACAATTCTAATAAAATTAGGATACTAATTTTTAGGAAATTAAAACTCTATAAAAAAAACCAAACAACAAATCTAGCATTAACTTATTATCTCAATCAAAGATCAATCTTTGAGAAATACAAAAACTATATTAAAAATCATCACTTTGCTTCTGCAGGAAAACATACCTACCGCCAGAGTGCTCATCTCCGTTGGAGTTCACATCGGAAAACATAACCACTGAATTTTGAGTCTCCGACCGACAATCGCCCTTTCTCACTTATGTTTCTTTCTCCGACCACCCACCGCCTTGCTAACTTATGTGTTTCCGAGAACAGATTGTTGTAGTAGCTGCCACGGCCGGAGTGTTAACCACTCCATATGTCTTGTCCGTCCTTGCTGACTTCTGTATCACCGACCAGCGGAGGATCAACCTCAATCCAGCACCGACGACTATCTGATATGGGCATATTTAGTTATAAAACTCATGCATTATCTTAATACTTTATGTTGTTTTTGGCTCATTTAATGAACAAAAGGTGCTTAATTAGTTTATAATTTCATTTTTCAGCAACAATTGCATACTATGATGGAAAAGGAAGCGGAACTAGCGATTGGAAGCTTGGATCTTGGATTTTGAAGAAAGAAGGATGTTGGTGGACAGCTTGACCCCTTGTCAGTGTTTTGGCCATATATCATGAACCGTAACTTCGATTGACGAGATTCAAAATGTTCTGAAAACTAGACACAATTTCGAACGACTTTCGTGTTTTGAGAAAATGCTGATTCCAAACGGACTCGACGAGTAGGCCGTAAAATCGACAAGTCACTTCGAACTTTCGCGATTCTGGACGCGCTGACTTGCCGTACACGAGTTTTAAGGGACGGACTCGCTGAGTAAGTCACTAAACTCGCTGAGTAGCCCCTGTTTTGTGAAAATCTATATAAAGGGACTTTCAGATCGATACCCTAGGATATAGATGAACCCTTGGAGGCCAATTGTCGACTAAAGGTGCTGCTGGAGCGTGGGAAGCTAAGGAATCAACCCTACATTCAATTTTAAGGAGAATCAAGTCAAAATCAAGTTTACTCTTACCTAATCTCTTGTTTGAACTATGTTTTTACCAATTGATTTCGTTTTTGAACTTGTTTCTGTTGTAATCATGAGCTAAAACTCATAACTTCTGTTTAGGTAGATGAATTTGTGAACATGGATTGATTATTTGATTAGGATTAATTTTAATTGGTGATTATGTTTTATTAAGCTTGTTAAAGAACCTTATGTGTTAACAATAACTATTCTTATGTTAATAAATCAGTAATTAAGTTGTATGAATATCACTTAGTTATTAATTTCATATGATTTATTGTGACCATATAGTTGTATGTCTAGGAATAGCGAATGTGAAACTAGAATTAACTAGAAGATAGGTAAGTTAATGTGTGACCTTGTTTGATGAACATCAGCAAGAGGTTAATTGAAGGCCAATTTAATTAACCATTACAAGTCTTATTTAACCCGAATCAATAACTAGGAAATCCGTTAATTTAGACAACTGGCCACTGCTTGAGTTAATTTGTTTCCTAAGGATTAGTAATAGCGAACGTGAAACTAATCATATTAGTTGGTAGACAATGAAGAATTAATCCGATACATTGAAATCATCCATGGGAACAAATGAGTCGAACCTAAACAGAAGTCCTCTCTATTATTGAAATTAGTTGATTTTTATTTGCTTAGCTCTTAGTTTCTTAGTTTAAGTTTTAGTTAATTGTTTAAGTTTCTAGTCTTGTAGAACTAGAGAAACCCCCTTTCTATTACTTGTTTTATTTAGATAATATTAGCATTTCTTTTAATTGTTTACCGTTCCCTGTGTTCGATACCCTGCTTACTAAAACTATACCACAAATAGACAGGTTCACTGACTTTTGTGTGATTAATTTACATTTTATAAGTAGGATTAAAAGTAGTTGGTTTTACACACATCAAGATTTTGGCGTTGTTGTCGGGGAACGGTTCAAATAGTTAATTTTATTTGCTAACTGTTATCATTTTAATTTTATTAATTATTTTTTTAATTTTAATTTTATTTTTATTTATTATGTATTTTCTAAATCTCGATGCTTTTGATGCTTTTCTTGAGGAAGTAGTACAGGAAATTGAGCAAGAAGATGAGGAGTATGACTCAGATGATGATTTGATGAAATTTGGAAAATGGTTAGATAACTTCTTGACTAACGAACAAGAGCAATTTGAGTCACAAGAGCTAAAGTTACAAGATCAAGAATTTAATCCAGAAAGAGATTTGGAGGAGCTGGAAAGGTTGCTAGTAGAGAGGTCAGACGAAGAACAAGAACAAGCTGAATTGCAAGAACCAAGCTGTGGTTTGACCATTACCACGACATGGCCCCCCGTATTTTCAGTTTGTGTTTCGAAGCATGGGGTGACGATTCCAACTTTGGAGAAAATTCTGAAGCGCGATCCATTTCTGATTAGTATCCAACCGGTTCCAACCCTTGTGAAGATTCTTGGGTTTTATGAATTAAAGTTCATTTGGCCAATTTTTGAAGCAAATAGCCAAATTTTACAAATTGGTCCAAAGAAAATATTCAATGCAATGGATGGATTGACGTTGAGTTTATTGAAAGTTTATTAAGTTGGGAGTCCAACTCAAGACTCACACAAAAAGAAGCGCTTGTGGGAGGCAACCAATCATTAGATTTTGCTTGTCTTTTTCTTTCTAAACTTCTAGTATTTAGGGATAATATAGGAATTTTTATTTTGATGTTTGTTTTCCTTTTAATTACATGGTTTTGTCTTTGATCTTTTCAGAAGCTAGGGTGATATTAGAGCGAATTCTTAAAGTGTGAGGGAATTAAAGTGAGGGGTCGAGTCGTTTACGAGAAGATTAGAAGACTTTGAGCGATATGTTGAGTCCGATGTTTATATTTGATTAAAAAGAGTCTCGTCCCTGAAGAAAATGAGGAGTAGTATTACCTTGATAATCTTCTTGAACACAAAATTAAAGCTGAAGTAGAAAGAAGAAAAGACCTGATCAGAGTTAAGAACTCGTCGAGTGCATAATACTAACTCGATGAGTCTAAGCGAAAAATCACGATATCTGCAAGTATAGCGATTCAACTCGGCGAGTTTACTATTAACTCGACGAGTTACTATTTCTCTTACCTTCAAGATTGGCGATTTGATTCCATTCGACATGGGCATTGTCTATATTTTTGAAATTCATTTCCGAGCATTTCCAAGAATTTTTCCCTTATAATTGGAGCTATACCACACGAGAATTTGACGCCCAAGGCATGGATGTGCTGTTCCCATGCCAAAGTCAGCTGAAGTTGGAGCTTTACATGAAGAATATCAACCTCGCGACTACTATCCCAGGGGATTTTGTTCTAATTCTCTCTTTCCTTTTAAGTTTTTTTATCAGGCGTAATATGCAATGGGGGCATTGCATAATTAAGTTTGGGGTAGGGGTTGGTTAAATTAGTTAAAATTTTAGTTAAATTTCAAAAATCTTGAAATTTTAGTTAATTTATGATAAAATTTGAAAATTTTGCATTAAAATTGCTAGGGCTAATTTAGAAAATTTTGGTAAAGCAATTAGGATTCTATTCTAGTGACATAATGGCTAGGTTCGATTGGAGTTGTCTTATGTAATATTAGTGTACTAAAATTCAGTTTTGATTGGGGGCAAGCAAAAGTCAACTGTGGGGTATTTTGATATGGTTATATTTAGTTATAAAATTCATGCATTATCTTAATACTTTATGTTGTTTTTGATGGGTTTTGGTCATATGAACATTCCTATGTGCACATACAAACCCTAATGCTTGGATCTAGGTTTCTCTAATCAAACATGCATTGAATCCAAGACTTCTAATGGCTAATTAGGTATAAGAACAATGCAAAACCAGAGTTAGAAGCTTACCTTGAAACACTTGTTTGATCTTCTTGTTCTTGGAGCTTTAGAGTCACAATTGTCACTCCTCTAATGGCTTACAAACACCAACTAGCAAAGAGGATGATTTAGGAGAGAGGAGAGAGGAGGAAATCGGCCAGGGTTTCCTTGCTGTAGAAGAGGTGCCAATTTCCCTATCCCAAGGGGTCTATTTATACTTGTAAGGCTCCTAGGGTTTCACCCTTAAACCCTAATTGGATAACTTAAACTCTAAGCAATCCTAATCCTTTCCTTAGATAGGCCTTGGACGAATTTGAGGCTTATCCTAGCCCTAGAAATCGTCCAAACACTATCCCATAAGGATTTACAGCCCAAAGTGTAACTATCAAACAATTGACAGTTTATACCCTCTTATTTAATTAATC